TAATTACAGTATCCCGCTGATTTGACAATGAACTCTTCTTTTGTTTTATGGGCAGACCACCGTAACCTCTTCAATGAACTCGAGACAACAGATGGGTGTTTTTTGACGGTGTATAGTTGCCCTTCTTACGTTGAGACTACTGTGGAATTTGCTGGCAATTTTCTTGCCTATCCCGCCTCTTCTGAGAAAATTCTTAGATGCCAAAACTTAAGAGTATGGGCAAGTCAATAAAACTCAACATTATGCGAGTGGCGACACGTTCAGACGTCGTAAATTTAGTAGCCAAGCTGGGGTAATGCTCCCCAGAGTATCGGGCCCTTGACCCATTGGCATTCATAACGAGCTGTCGAGCCTCAACATCTGCATCCAGAGTTCTCCCCAGCTTACAACTTCCCATTACGGGGGATAGCTAACCCGAGTAGATTACTATAAACAAATGAGCATCTTCACGAACGGATTAGCCGTTGAAAGAGATCCTAGTGGGGGAAAATGAGGGGAGAGAGCTAAGGGTAATGAGGTCTAGATGAGGTCTGCTGCCCAAATGGTGATGTCTTTGACGTGAGTGTAATGACTAGTAGAATGAATAACTTATTCATTCAACATTGAGTATCTCAGACTTTCTCCTGGGATACATTATTCAGACCAAAAAGAAAAACTTATAAATCAGAGTGTATATAGGTAGTTGTCCCGCGGCAGAAGATGAATGAGATAATCTCGGTGACGAATTACAACAACTCGATCTGGATATATAGGCGCCCTTAGAAAGAAACAATACACCTTACTATACGATGATGAAATAGCCTAACTGATATCGATATCTTAGAAGAGCATTTTTTTCATAAATTAATACTTTGCTTAATTTTGAATCACTGCCACTCGATTTATACCCAGTTATGGCATACGTTTTTTAACTCAAAAAAAATTGTATCGAAATTAGCCTTTAAGGTAAGGTGTCTCCACTAGTCTTAGGGTTATGTGTACTGCACGAAATGATGCATAAATTTACATAAAACTGACCCACAACGGCAAGATAAGCGTCTTTTTTAAATTTGATCATCAATTCTAAACCGTAGTGCAAGCATTGCAGATAGGAGTCATGCTTAAGGCACAAGAGCAACTAATAAATTACAGTAAAGATTT